GGCTTGGGCTAGAAGAGTTAAACCTGTTTCTATGATATGTCTATGTTTCCTCTTAATTCTTCCATTTTGTGCAGCCGTGTAGGGGGCAAGGATGTCTAAACTCAATCCCTTCTTATGCTAGGAATTTGGTGAAGGTTCTATATTCCCCTCCCCAGTCAGCGTAAATGGTTTTGATTTTGCTGGTAGACTTGTTTTCGACCAATTTTTTGAATTGAATGAACACACTCAATGCTTCAGACTTTTGTTTTAAGGAATATATCCAGGTAAACCTACTGAAATCGTCTAGGAAGGATATATAGTATTTGAAGCCAGATGTGGCGTCAGTATGTATGAGTTCTCTAAGGGTTTTAGCATGTGAAAGTGATACAGAGAAAGGCAACAAATACGATTTTCCAAATTGAAAGGGATCACAAAAGGACTTAGCTTCATTTTCTATTACCTCCTTATTACAGATTTTGAGTACTTAGGACACCACCTGACGAGATGGGTGTCCAAGTCTCTTATGCCATACATTAGTAGAGAATTTTAGTGACTCTTTACTTGACTTAAGACTGAGGCTAGACACTTGACCAGGACTGGGAACAGAGACATAGCAGCAATGTTTATTTGAGACAATTGACTTCAGTGAGTAATACTTGGAGTTTTGGTGAGGAAGGTCCAATTGATACAGCCATTTCGTAAGATTCCCTTGCAGCACTATTTCCCTCGAGAGCTTGTCCTTAACAAAATAACAATCATAGTGAAATTCCATATATGCTTGATTATCAAATGTCAATTGTGAAACACTAATAAGATTTTTCTTCATTTCTAGTACACGAAGTAATTTATTCAGCACAAGGGTTCTGTCATTTAAAGTTGGAATGTGAGTCATACCGAAAGGTGTGATTAGGGTTGGGCAAAATATCCGAACCGAACCGAACCGGAACCGAATCGAACCGAACGGATTTTTTAAAATGAAATACCCAAACTGGTATCCGAATCGAGAACCGAATGGTTTGGTTCGGTTCTCGGTTCTAGATTAAGAACCGAAGAACCGAATTTTTTTTTTAATATTAGATAAAACAATTTCTTTTATTTTTTTTAAATAAATTAATAATTTTTTTCTTATTAAATCTTATTAGTTGAACAATTTAGA